TCGACAATTTGGCATCGTTTGAAACGGGAAATGCATTATTCTCAACAATAAGTGGAACATATCTCCCATAAAAATGGTATGAATATTTTAAATATTTTATTGAAAAAGCCTGTGTTTAAATCAGTGCACTAAGTACAGCAGATCTATTGTATATAATGAACATTATGAAATATCATCATTTTCAGAAAGACAATTCTCTGGCACTTTTGTCAGGTAGAAAATTATACAGTCCTTTTTACCAATTGGTGAGCGTCAGGTTGAAGAAAGATTAACGTGACGTGTCCGCAGCCATTTTCTATTTAGCAGTAGCCAACTATATTTTATGAAATGTGTGTTCGCGTTTGCCATGTAGAAAAGCGACGAATATATTTACTTAACAACTGTTATGGATATTGATATTTGCTTAACAACTGTTATTAATATGGATATTTACTTAACAACTGTTATAGGATATGGATATTTATTTAACAACTGTTATGGATATGGATATTTACTTAACAACTGTTATGGACATGGATATTTACTTAACAACTGTTATGGACATGGATATTTACTTAAAAACTGTTATGGATATAGATATTTACTTAACAACTGTTGTGGATATGGATATTTACTTAACAACTGTTGTGGATATGGATATTTACTTAACAACTGTTATGGATATGGATATTTACTTAAGAACTGTTATGGATATGGATATTTACTTAACACCTGTAATGGATATGGATATTTGCTTAACACCTGTTATGGATATGAATATTTTCTTAACAACTGTTATAGATATGGATATTTACTATACAACTGTTATGGATATGGATATTTACTTAACAACTGTTATGGATATGGATATTTGCTTAACAACTGTTATGGATACGGATATTTACTTAACAACTGTTATGGATGTGGAGATTTACTTAACAACTGTTATGGATATGGATATTTACTTAACACCTGTAATGGATATGGATATTTACTTAACACCTGTTATGGATATAGATATTTACTTAAGAACTGTTATGGATATGGATATTTACTTAACTGTTATGGATATGGATATTTACTTAAAAGCTGTTATGGATATGGATATTTACTTAAGAACTGTTATGGATATGGATATTTGCTTAACAACTGTTGTGGATATGGATATTTACTTAACTGTTATGGATATGGATATTTACTTAAGAACTGTTATGGATATGGATATTTGCTTAACACCTGTTATGGATATGGATATTTACTTAATACCTGTAATGGATATGGATATTTGCTTAACAACTGTTATGGATATGGATATTTACTTAAGAACTGTTATGGATATGGATAATTACTTAATAACTGTTATGGATATGGATATTTACTTAAAAACTGTTATGGGTATGGATATTTACTTAACAAAAGTTACTACCGCTGGATATGAACCAGTAGCAAGAATGTTAATCTGATCTGACGGTTTATAAATTATATAATAACTTTACTAATTCTGATATCAAAATTTGTTTTTTTACCGAAACAATTACCTACCTTGTGATATAATTTTGTCATCTTGAATTGGATTTCATGAAGTTTGATTTAATATACTTTTATTTACTTTAATGCAATTTAATTTAATGTTATTTAGATCGAGTATCTTAACAACTACCATAAGCTGATCCAGGAGAAAGTGGGCCCAGCGTTAAAGGAGAAAAATTTGGAGGCATATGATTGGATGATGCAGAAGACTGCGACCATTAGTTCTTTTGTATCCTCTGGAAATCGACAGCCAGTCAACCACGCCATTTTGATTCCTATTTTGCTGCCGCTATTTTTCATTTTTTAATTTATCTATTTTTTGACAATTGTTACCCAGAATCCCAGGTGTGTCCCAATAGTAGGTTTTGTTAAAATATGCAAGCTTGTCATTTTGATAATTATTTCTGAACTGAATAATAATTGACGTGGTTGACAATTAAATAATAATGTTGTTTATTTGATCTATTGCTATTAGCAGTAATTACATAGCTTATTTCTAAGCCGCTACTAATTGTACAGAACGGATATGCAAAACTAATCGATCTGCTAAACTAATCGATATGCTAAACTACTCGATATGATCGTGTATTATGTTGCTGCATCATGTTTGGTAGACCACCCTGTATAACGCCGATTGTTCAATAGTTAAAGTCCATGTTGCATCTACTGCACACTGTGCTGTATGTTGAGTTGATATTCAAAGTACACTGTGCTGTAATGTATGTTACATTGATATTGTAAACTGCGCAGCATTGTGCTGTACTGTACGTTTAGATGATATCCGATGCACACTGCAGAGTATGTTAAGCTGATATCTACTATACACCATACTATACTACTGTTTAATCTATTATGACTTATGACATGATCAACTGTTACAGCGATATATATATATATATATATATATATATATATATATATATATATTAATAATAATAATAAATAATTATACAACAAATGTACTGTCAGAGGAATGAAAGTAACCCCGTTTGATGGTATTTTACCATGTTTACAGTGATGCTTAAGAACGAAAAATTGTTTGTAGAGTTGACAATCAAAATACAAGAATAGACATCCTGCATATACCGTTTTTATAATAGTTGTGTCCAACAAACCTCATAGTATACATATTCCCTATCATTTTATTTGTTAGTCTCCTACACATATCACAATGAACTCAATTTATATCCTGTATCATACTTGTCAGTGTCCTACAAATATCGCAATGCACGCAATGTATATCATGTTTCATACTTGTCAGTGTCAAACAAACCTCACAACTGTTATGGCTTTATGGTATTAAGCAATAAAACAAGAGCAAAAAGGAACAAAGTTTATGAAGTTGAAAAATATATTTTATTTCCCTTATAAACAAAGTGAACAAGTAACGTGAAGCAGTCCTAAACAGTTCTATGAAGTCCAAAGTATAAAATAATTCCAACGAGTTACAGTGGTATTTCCAATGATGTCCACTATTGTATTGATATACTAATAGTAATAAATGAATCCCATTGATATAATCCGAAAATTTCTTTAAATAATATAGTTATTAAATAATTACTATACTTCCTAATATTCTAAATATTTCTATCACTTCTAATGCTAATGAATGACTGAAGTAAACAAATGAATTCTCTTAATTAAAAAACAACTGAATCTTCTAAAACTAGCGTATACTAGTAAGAATAACTAATTCTTCTAATTCATCTCATATAGATAACTACTACGTGATTAAACTGAAACACGCACATTCATTCCAGAATGATCTGAACTGATAAACAAGGTCAGATGGTTTACATTAGCTAATCAGAAAATAGGTCAGCTTGGCCTTTCTAAAACACATGACCGCATGTGAGGTCACGTGAAGTTTACTTGTATAATATCACTACTCAGCTTTGGAACTTATGAATGAATTTTATACACTTACTATCAGAATGACTTCCTCCTTGACATGCAAATCTGCGATCATAAGAAATATTAAAAAAAATATAATGAACTAAATGGCCCTAATAACTATTATCAAATAAATAATACACATAATATAGATATACATTACACAATATGCACACTGTATATCACGACTTCATACTTTTCTGTGTCCAATAAACCGTACAATATACACACTTCGTATGTTGACTATTTTCAATATTCAGCTATTTGATACATAAATAATTATCCGGAAAATATATATGTAATGTCGTATCAAGAGGTTCAAAACAAGACTTGGTATTTCTTATTCACCATTGGTTTTAATATTTCTATGCATTATTTTGTTGAAATGTATTTTGTATATGTTTATAGTCCATTTTGAATATCTACCTTTTTGTGATTTATTGATTAAAGTGAATTTCAAAGACGTTGTTTTGTTTCCAATTAAATATTAATATCCAGTTCGGGGAATTAAACTAGATTACAACTGTTTAGAATTTGCAACTACAACGAAAATATATTGTGAATAACTATGAGCTATTATTGTACAAATTTGAATCCAATAGAGGAAAGTATTATATATTAACTCAATGAATAGTTCAGGTGTGATGTTTGCGATTTAAGAGATTATACTATCCTCTAATTTGCACAGTTATTTAATCTTTTCTCCTTGAAAATAAAACGATGATGATGTACAGAAGACTTTATGTGGTAAAACTTTTCATGGAATTAGGTGAGGAAAGATGGAGGTATCAGGATTTAAAGTTGTACATGTGATTTGGTGCAATTCGCACAGGTGGTCAACTGAGCTTGAGAACCAACTAGCATGTGGAGATAAACTATTTAAATTGCAAGTCAATCACTTCATTGGATGGGCGATCTCTAGATCTCTGTGGAGAATTATTAGTATAACAAATAAATTGTCCATTAGGCTGGTCAGATTAGCCAATGGGTTCCCGATTATCACTAGTGCAGAGAGAATTTATTTTAGATAAACTCTAAATGGGTGATGTCATTGGTCATGTGATCCAATTACCACTGGCCGATTAACCTTGTTCAGACAAAACTGTTAGTTAAACGCAATGATGGGCAATTAGACAGATAATGTGATCCTCCGGGCTCCTTATGGGCACAGATTTGATACCTGTTATGAATATGCAAACATAGTTGATTCAACTGGACAGATGATTCCCAAAGCTCTGTCGAGATACAAGTGTTAGCTGACACTCAAAAATGGGTGATTGTTATATGATTCACTAACGTCCCTCTCATCTCGCGTTTGGGAGACCAACCATTTTGGTAGAAGCGAAGATCAGTAATTATATTGGTCAGGTATTTCACTGTGCTTTCGACTAACTCGCATGCTTTTGACCATAAGAACACAATTTCGTTAAGAATCACACAAGTGGTTGATTAGATTGGTCATGTGATCCATTAAATTTCTGATCGTCTGGCTGGTGGAGACTAACTTTTAGAAAAATGTATTAATGTGCGATAAGATTGGTTATGTGATCCACAGTGCCTTTGAGCAACTAGCGTGCGGAGACAAACTATTGGGAACCACTCCGGTGGCCTAGTGGTTAGTGTGTCCGCCTCGGATGCGGAAGGTCATAGGCTTGAACCCTGCCGAGTCATACCAAAGACTTTAAAAATGGTACTATCAGGTGCCTCGCTTGGCGCTCATCAGTAAGAGGTTCGTGTTAGGAATGGTCCGCCTGGTGTCAGGATAATGTGACTGGGTGGGACATGATGCAACATGTCTGCGGCATGATGCCCCAGTGCTAGGCATCACTATATACCGCTACACTGCAGATATCGTAGCGATATGACTGCAATTTGTTTATTAAAGCTACGTTAAAAATAAACACACACACAGCTATTAGATAAAGGCAATAATGGACGATTCAGTGAGGAATGAGGTCCACTGGCCTGACCAGCTTCAGTGTGGAAACACAATTGGTAGATAAACGCAAAGAGGGATGATTAAATCAGTCAGTGGCCTAATAAAATTTTAGGTCATGATAAACAAATTCTAGACTCGCTCACCAAATTACACCTAGAGCTGTTGAAGAGGAAGAAGACATGAAGAACCAGATAATAAAAGTGAGGTCTTAATATTGATAATTTTAATGAAACAAAGTCTAACCCAGTAGATAAAACTATTTTATTTAAAGGAAATTGAAGAGGCTTTTCATTTTCCGATGTTTCATGTAAACATGTTCTACAGATGCAGAGAAAAATCTACAATAACTATAGTTCTATATATATATATATATATATATATATATATATATATATATATATATATATATTACTTGCCATGGTACCTAAAATGTCACTGGATTTCAAATAAAATTTACGTTAACAATGACAAACGAATTTAAAGATACTATACTCTATCATCAAGAAGTGCAATAAAAGTCTGATTGCATTATGGGATATATGTAAGTGTAAATTATATCCAGTATCCACAATATGATGCACATTCTGAGATAACTGATGATTTGGTGACAATAAATCAATTTTCTGTCTATATACGCATCAACGAAAACTTTAATCACAGGAATTCTTAGTGTAAATTACATGTAAATAAAACAAAAAATGTGATAATTGGCTAGTTTTTCTGATTATTTAAGATTGTATCTGAGACAAAGTAAAATTAAAGCTGCCTTCAAATGCAATCAACGATGATAACAATTGTTGCTTCCTAAAGTGTGCTTGTGCCAACAGCATGGTAAATAGATCAATTTTTTTTCTTTATATTGGCCTTACTTATTTTATACCATTTTTTTCTATGCTAATGCAAATAGCATGCATGTGAATCAACTCAAAAAGTCATAAGCAATTTAAATTTCTTACCCAGTATGAGTTGCCTTCTTATACCATCAAGATGTCATTGACCTTGAGCAATCACGTGCTATTGTCAACTGCATTCTAACTTACAATAACATTATGCATATATAAACTACAAGTTTAAAATAAATTTCTGACGTATTAAATAACTGGAAATAACTGGAAAGTTGGAAAAAACTTTAGTCAACAATGCAGCAGTTAGAATATTACAAGCCCATTGACCATTAGAGCAACGGCTAAACATACAACCTGTGCTGCGCTTTACACATAAACAAAGATTGGTCATATGATCAGCATAGTGCAACACTAGAAAAAATGCGTGTTTAGTCAATTGATAAGTGAAAGTGCTTGGAAGAGACTCACTCGTTGTTTGCCTCAATCAAACAGCGTAAAAGATCATGTTGGATAACAATGGGGAGAAACATTTACTCGCGGAAGCAGTGATTGATTAAGCAGAGCAGAGTTATGCATATTGATATCTCTACACATTCGACTTAGGATAAAAGAGAAACGTAGCGGATTATCGCCTATGGCTTCTAACAATGTAGACCTTATAACACTAGGAATTATATTGTTTGGGATGGCGGATTGGGTGGAATGAAAAGGGGTGGCGCTTTAAAGATATATAAATTCAATAATAAATGAAATTGGTTTGTAATGTTATGATTTCAAAATGCCTGTAATTAAAGAGGAACAGTCAGATTGTTTGACTTGTAGTGAAACTGATAAGTACTGTTGTAATCTCCAAATGCCAGGAATTAAAGAGGAGTCAAGTGTTTAATATTAATAAGATTAATTTATCAGTGAAAACTTAGCACAATATAACTGCACTAGTCTTCTGGATGAAGAAAAATATATCTGGAAACTATAAATGTAGATTTTTTTTCTTCTAGGAAACACGTCATAATTACTCCCCATAGAAAACTTCGCCGTGACGTCATATGACATGATCACGTGGGGGTTCCCTATTCTGCTTGGCAGAAAGACCATAGGCTTACTCTACATTTGATTGAATTCGCTTGTTTACCATAATATATGCAACAAACTACGACGTACAGTGCAAAACTATAGTCCGATGATACGTCCCGTTTGTTTGTACCCCCGTACTAGTCCGACGATACATTCCCGTTGGTTTGTACCTCCATACTAGTCCGATGATACGTCCCCGTTTGTTTGTACCCCCATACCGATTTCAATAACTAAAAAGATTAATGGGATAAAAAGTTCACAGAACTAAGTTAATTGAATCATTGATTTATAATTTATAACCTGACTGTCACCAGAATGGCACTAATACTGGCATCCCCTTGCACCTGTCATGCTTTCCAAACTAACACGGCGCTATATTCCGTACACTATGGAGTAGTCTATTTCCATCCTACAATATAATGAAGTACTTCATCCTATTCGGTAACTGCCGGATAATTCCATAAATTACCATAACGTTGAGTTTGGAATTATATTCTTTTGCACACATGAACATATTAATGAAACCACTTGATAAATTCACGTGAAAGTCATTTCTTTTCTTTTCTTTTTTTTGTTTCGACACTATAAATATCAAAAGCAGACGACATATGTATGTACATCTTTAGTCGCGCATAGCTGAAAATGGACTTGTAGAGTTTTACAAACACAACGTTTTTTGTTTATTTGTTTACTTTGTCAATGTTTTGTATATGCCTTTGATAAAAACTCATTAAGAGTCGAAAGCGCTCAGGCTAGTTATTTACTAGTTTTGCACTGTACGTCGTCAGGTTGTTGCATCTATCTCAATTAATCCCTGACACACGTGATCCCTTGCTGGATTCAGTGCACTTAAAATGGCTGTTATTCGCCATATGATTTGTGTATATATATATATATATATATATATATATATATATATATATATATATATATATATATATATATATATATATATATATATATATATATATATATATATATATATCACTATTAACAGTGAAATTTATTGCAGTAATCATTGATCAGAATAGGGGCCCCGAGTGGCCGAGTGGTCTAAAGCGCTGTCCGTTACGGATCACTGCCATCTCACCTCTGTCTGCGTAGGTTCGAGTCTAGGATTCGGCTAATGTAGATATGTGAGAAAGCTTGCCAGTAGCTTCTCGTGGGTCGGTGGTTCTTTCCGGTGATTTCCCGGTTTCTTCCTCCACCATTAATACTGGCTGCCATGAATAGCCTATCGTGTGCTGAAAAATGGCGTTAAGCCCAACAACAACAACAACAACAACATTGATCAGAATAGGTTTTTATACCAATACAAACAATTAAAGCACTTCAAAGCCAATGCGCCAACCCACATTAAATACAAGTATCCACGATAGAACCATGATAAGTTGTATCGTTTCGTCATTGGTAATGAGTAAAACAACATTAAACAATTCTCTCGTCATCTGTTTATGCATATAATCTTTTATCGAAGAAGGAAATGTAAAATTCATAGATAAACCTGACAACAACGTTATTTCTGCATCATAGATTGGCTTATGATGCTGGATGGGTTTATGATGCTGATGACGACGAGAAACGGATAATTGTCCATAGCTGTTACATACTAAGGAAACGAGGTTAGCCAAGTTTCTGTTTGATGAAAATTTATTCGAGTTACATATCATTGATACAGCATTCATACTGTACAAATAATTTATGTCTACCACATGCTAATACACATATTTGCCCTTTGAACCGAATGCAGAAAGGATTGCAACAAAAGAGTTGTTCCTGTTAAATTCATTTAGAAAACGGGGATAATTGATACTAATGATCAATGAGTGGAAATGCATCAATAATTTATAGGCTTAGAATTTAACAGCATGCAGTTCCAATGTTTATATATGCGTATTATTGCACATGAACGGATCCTAATTTGATATGTTAATGATACCAAAACTGTAAAAGTCACGTTATTTTTAATGTTATATATATATATATATATATATATATATATATATATATATATATATATATATATATATATATATATATATATATATATATATATATATATATATATATATATATATATGGACAATTATTTAATATAGCGGATCATCAATATATATGACATAAATTATATAACCAACATCAAAACATTAGTACCATGTATACAATTAGCACTGTCTATTTGATGGCCTAAGCTGATATAAAGATCATCTTTCTTCGTCGCCATGATGATTCTTCCAACCACAGCTCTGCCAACGCTGTTGTGACATCATACAGGGAATCTCCAAATTTCCTTATTATCCCGCTCCCCCTACCTCCTCGGCCGTAAATAAACACCTATTCCGCCAAGAGCACGCCGTTATCAAACGGGTTTGTCTTTGTGTTTTGATTTTGTGGTTGAACACCATTTTCAGCACGTTAGGCTCTACATGGCAGACAGTTTAGTTCATGGAGGAAGACCCTGGGAAGACTCCACGAAAATCAGCATACCCACATTGGTCGAGCAGAAACGAGACTTGAAAAGAACAAAGGTTTGATGTGTGAGTGATAGGTGAATGTGAGTGCCTTAGACCACGCTGAGCCCCTGTCAAATGAGTCCCACAGGAATTAACATTATATGTGTGGGTCTGTATGGCGACTAATAGGAATTTACTTTTACGTCGATCGTCGATAGGTTTGACATATGTGGGCATGTACGTAGTCTAATACAAATTTAACATCGGGCAGCAAGTTTTAGGATTTATTGGGACAAGAGAATTTCAATGTTAAATGCCCATAGGTTAAACATGTTGGGTGATTATATGGTACTGCTTT